AATGGAGCAAAAGTTAATATAGTGGTTGTTGGCGAGGTCACCCTACATCTGCCTAGTGGAGCTATTATTGCATTAAATACTTGCTATTTTGTTTCTTTTATTATCAAGAATATTATTTCCATTTTATTTTTTATAATTAGTGGATATATTAGTTTTTTAGAACAATGATTGTTCGATAATATTATATGATAAAATCATCACCAGAGAAACACTACATAATGGTTTATTTATGCTAAACACTGCTCCACATATCATGAGTGTAAGTATGTCCAAGAGGAAACGAGATGAGGTTACAATACATACCAATGACATTGTAGACTAAGTCATATCCATGATGAAAGGATTTAAAACTTACTAAAGGATGGATACCTAGATCCATTTGATTATAAGTCATATGCAACTTGTGAGCCTCGCTTTTATAAAAAACTGACTATCTCTCCATTTAGTGGAAGTGGAGAGAGTACCACTGAGTTGTTGGAACTCATACATAGTGATGCATGTGGTCTCATGTCAACTCATGTCATAGGTGATTACTCCTACTTCATTATTTTTATTAAAGATTTTTCTAGGTATAGATATGTATACTTGATAAAGTATAAGTCTGATGCCTTCGAGAAATTCAAGGAGTATAAGAATGAAGTAGAGAACCAAACTGGAATGAGTATCCAAACTCTTCGATCAGATCGAGGAGGTGAGTACTTAAGTATAGAGTTCACCTAATTCCTCAAGGGCTATAGGATTATATCCAAATGGATACCTCCTTATACACCTCAGCTCAATGGTGTATCCGAAAGGAGGAATTACACATTGTTAAACATGTTATAGTCCATGATGAGTTTCGTCGACCTACCCATCTCATTTTGGGGATATGCCCTAGAGACCGTAGCTTACCTTCTGAACATAATTTCAACTAGGTCGGTGGTGTATATTTCATATGAGATATGAAAAGGGAAAAAGTCTGATCTTAAGGTTGTTAATAATTGGGGCTATCCTGCCCACGTTAAGAGACATAACCCCGACAAGTTAGAATCCAGGACAAAGCGGTGCAAGTTCATGGGATACCCTAAGGAAACTTATGGGTATTATTCATATCATCCCAAGGACCAAAAGGTCTTTGTAGCTAAGAGAGCAATGTTCCTTGAAAAGGAACACATTCTTGGTGGAGACAATGGGAGCATGATAGAGTTGAGCAAGGTTGTAGAACCTAGCTCAAGCACCTTTCCACAGCCAAAGTATGTTCAAGTACCTATTACACAAGTTCTAACTTTACATAGGTACGATAGAGTATCTCATCCTCCTGAGAGATATGTGGGATACATCAGAGGAGAGGATGTTGATGATATTGATCCTCAGACCTACGAGGAGACTATTATGAGTATAGACTCTAGGAAGTGGCAAGAGGTCATGAATTCTGAGATCGATTTTATGTATTCCAACAAGGTTTGAAACCTAGTCGATGCACCTGAGGGTATTATACCCATTGGTTACAAGTGGATCTTCAAGAAGAATATCAAAGTAGATGAAAATGTAGAGACATATAAAGCAAGGCTAGTGGCTAAGGGGTATCATTAAAGGCAAGGTGTTGACTTTGACGAAACCTTCACACTCGTAGCCATACTAAAATCCATACGAATTCTATTTGCTGTTGTAGCATATTATAATTATAAGATTTGATAGATGAACGTGAAAACTGGGTTCCTCAATGACAACCTCGAGGAGAAGGTATATATGATACAACTTGAGGGATTCGTGTCCAAGGATAGTCCAGATAAAGTATGCAAATTGCTTAGGTCCATCTATAGACTAAAGCAAACTTCCCGAAGTTGGAACATAAGATTTAATGAGATGATCAGATCTTATGACTTTGTTAAGAATGAAGATGAGCTTTGTGTGTATAAGAATGTAAGTAGGAGCGCTATCACCTTTTTAATGTTATATGTGGACGACATCCTAATCATTGGGAATGATATAGGGATGCTCTCCATAGTAAAAGCTTGGCTATCTAGACACTTCTCCATGAAGGACTTATAGAAAACACCCTATATTATACAGATTCGGATCTATAGAGATAGATTGAAGAGAATGCTTGACTTGTCCTAATCCAAGTACATAGACACCATTGTCAAAGGTTTGGCATGAAAAATTCCAAGAGATATCTAATATAAATGAGATATGGGATATTGCTTTCTAGAAATATGTCTCCAAACACTCCTAAAGAAAGGGCAAACATGGATATGATACCCTATACTTTAGTGATAAGGTCTATCATATATGTTATGCTATGTACCAGGCCTGATATTTGGGCATGGAGATTTGGGTAGTGATGAGTACTAGGAGAAGGGGTTTCCTAGTACTCATCTCCTATTCTCCTCTCGCCTTCTCCTCCTCGGATAATATGTATGGAGATTTGGGAAGTGATTAGAGGAGCGTCGTCGTAGCCCAACTGTATGGATCATCGCTAGAGAAAATGACACTTGAACTCTTTTATCCAATCTCACAGATCTATAGGAATTCAGGGATATATGATCCCCTAAGTAAAAAACACTATCTCACATGTGAATTTAAGTTTTGTGAGTTTTTTGCATACCAATCTTCGCACGACGATGAACATCTTTTTTTTTTATTTGGTGTTTTTGTTTTCTGTTCTTCCATTACGCATGTAATGCCGCCCCTACATTTTCTAACAATTTGACCTTATTTCAAGTTTTTTCTTTTACTAATACAATTATAAAGTTACCACAATTTCAATTGAGTCTAATTTTGTTTGACAAAGATGACATTTTTTATCTAAGCTCATTCTACAATCTCATTTATGTATTTCAACATTTTTAGTATGACACCTCTTTGATTTATATTTTAATTTAATTTTTATTATTTTATCCATGCTTTAAGTGGCTTATTATCCTCCACATACATGATCTTTAAAACTTAAACTTCTTTACTTTAATCATGTTTAAACTCATTCAAGTATTAAGATTCAATTAAGGTTGATAATAATTCTGCCACTATTTCTAGTCACTATATGCATGATTATTACTATAACTTACCCTCATACTCACATCCGCTAACATACTTAAGTTTGTTACTCCGAAGGATTATACATTTTTTATTGTAAAATGTGCTTAAAGTAAACATTGATTCTTATGTATGTACTTCAATATTGATTCAACCAATATTTCATATAACACTAAGAATAATATTTTTGAAAAATATGGACTTCAACTTTAAAAGTAAAAAAAATGAACATTCCATTTATCATATTTATGAAGCATAGATATCACAATATAAATCTTTGACCCTTTTATCAATATAATAGGTTGATGTTGATAAAATATATAAATTTTTAACTCTTTTATCAGTATATACTATATCTACATTTAATTCTTTTATATTACGAAGAAACTTGACTTCATTAGGACTAAAAGGAACATAATTTCCAGCATTAACTGTATTTGCAATTGAGAATAGATTTTTCTTCATACTTGAAACATGGTATACACTCTTTAACGTAATAGGATCATTATCTTTATCTGAGATTCTGATAGTGTCTTTCTTTTCCACTTGATGAACAGTGTTATATGTCATGATAATTACATCATTATATTTATATTGACGAAAATTGGTGAATTTAGTACAATCACTAATGAGTTAATGACTACAACCTGAATCAATAATTCAGTCATTGTTAAAACTGATAGATGTTATGGCCTCATTAGTTTCAGCCATAAAGCATTTGCCCCAATCTTTATCAGTAGCATTAGAACAATCATTTTTTATTTATAATATTTTCTTTGTTAATCTTCGCAGGATAGTTTTTCTTGGCCTAACTTACCACACCTATAACACTTGATCTTCTTTCGATTTACACCATTATTCAAAGAAAACTCTTGCTTATTTATCATTATTAGTATCATCATTCTTTTCTTTATCATTATCATTATTTTTCTTCTTATTTATAAAAAGGGAATATTCATCTCCCCCCTGAAATAGAAATTCCCGTGATTTGATAAGCTAGGGATTTTTGAGAAGCAAGAAGATTTTCCAACTCTACTAAGGATGGTTGTTGAACCCATCCTTAAATACATGTAACATAAAAAATATTTTTTTCAAAGACCATGAATAATATAACGTTTCATTCGTGCATCAGAAATAGACTCATCTAGATCTAAGAGTAGTATCTCGAAACATTAATTTTTAATTTTTAAAAAATACTAAGAAATTTAGAGATCACGTATTTGCCAAATCATTCTCCAAATACTAAAGTCGAACCATATTCTTTTTGTTTGAGTAATACATTAAAAGTGATCCAATTCTCTGAAGTTGATTTGTAACAAATAATGTGTTTAAAGAGATGAGAAATATATCTCTTTTATACAAATTTAATCTTTGCATTTAAAGTCCTCCAACTCTTCGTGGTGCCTCCATCTGTAGCATATGGTGTTGTTGTTGCATTACCACCGTTTACATCCCATAGATCTTCTCCTATGAGATAAAACTTCAAATAAATCTTTCAGATCTTGTAGTTAGACTAATTGAGAAGTTCAATACTAACTCAACTATAATATTTCATAGTAAAAAAATGATATATTCTTCACCCAGGAGATCTTGAAAACACATATTATCACCCTTGTGGCTTTAATACCATGTGAGAAAAGGAAAGATCATATACAAGTGCAACATTTTCTCAAATAGTAGTAACAAGGTACTACTAACCCAAGATCAAACCAAATAAAAGAAGAAACCAAAATAGAAAAAAAAATTTATTGAACTTCTCCAAAAAAAAAAACACTCTTGAATGACATACTGGAGGCTTGAATTGATCTATACGTAGGTAGATGCCATATATTTATAAATATAAAATATAAGAATTCCTAATCTCTACAACTCTATCTAATTTTATTTGAAGTCTTCTAAAATATATTTTAAACTAAGAATTCTTTATTCATAAAACTCTATTTAATCTTATTTATGATCTTTTAAACTATACCTTTTTTTACTTCTTACCGGCGGAAATCCCCGCCGCACTCGTCCCGCTCCCGAGCCATGTCCGGTAGCAATGCCCACTTGTCCGCCGTCACATCGTACGCTATCGCAGACCGCAGCGCGTTCTTCTCCTCGTCGTGCCGCTGACGACGAACACCGCCACGGAGTTCCTTCGACGTCGTGCACGCGAAGGACCATCGGGATCTGGGCATCCGGGCCCCGTGACGCCACGTGCTGGACATGAAGTCGTAGACGTGGACCCTGTCGAATGCGGCCCACGTCTCCGAGTCCCACCGTCCGATCACCACCAGCTGCTGGGCGACAGCCGCGAGGTGGCAGAATAGCGACAGACAGTGCGGGAGGCCAGAGGCGGACGGCAGGCAGCTCCACGCACCGGTGACGGGGTCAAAGGGGGTAAAAGGGAGCGGCGGAGGGGGCGTACTTGTTGCAATCTCAGAACGTCTCCAGCCGTCTCTTCGGCCATTTTCTCGACGGTCGTTGGAGACTGGGAGCCTCTAATCTGTTTGGTTCGTCACGATAGACATTACTCGTGGAACTGCGAGGTCTTTCTCCAATCAGGGAGCTCATGCTGAATTCCAGGATGAGGTCCCTTAAGTTCGGCCCCGTGGGCCTCTGCAGAGACCACACTAGAAATGGCCTTCTCCTAGCCCGAGCTACGTTCGTCTTCTCCTTCGTATTGGCCGACGCCGTCTATTCCCGGGCGACGGCCAACGTTTATTGGTTTGGCGTCTGAACCAAGAGCGAGCGAGCGAGAGATGGACGACAAACACGCGATACGGATCGCGCAATCTTCGTCGAGTTATGTGCGACCATGTGATTGTCTTAGGCGTGCGGTACAGCAGAGGACCATTGATTTCACCTGTACCACTGGTGAGGTTAAATTAGAGGCAGCAGCGCAGAAGGTACGGCGAACGGAGAACACTCTCTTGCACAAACACACACACTTGCCAAATAATAGGACAGCTTGTGACGAGGAAGACAGGCAACAAAAGAGTCAATCAGGTGAACTGGGCTTCTGCCGGTCTCCATAATTATTTGGGTTGTGCATGCATGAACCTTAGTACTTGAATCTCTTCGAAGCAAAGATAATACAATGCCTAGGTTAACACATGTTGGATTTGAATCTGAATCATTTGTGGCCGAGACATGTTCAGATCAGAATAGAGATACAAGCTCAATATGACTACCTCTTCTTCTGCAGATTACTTCAACTAAGCAATCAGATTGTAGAGCCAAGTTGGACATCAAAAAAAGCTCCTGTGCAACATTTGTGCCCATGATGTAATGCAGAATTGAGAGCCACCACTAGCAAAAGAGCCTCAAAATGCAATTGACATAGATCATGGCTCAGGCATTTTCATTATTTATGAAGTTCAGATGGGTTACACGAAAACTCTGGAAAAATGGGGACCCATAGTCTGCCTCTGACTCGCTGATAATAAGAAAAAGGAGTCGGCAATTTGCCAGATCGTTCCTGCCGACATTACCATGAACACGCAAGTGAAATTTGATGGAAACAACTGAATATACATGGTGATGATCCATGGCCACTACAGATTCACATAGACAGTTCCAGGTAGATGGATGATCCGACTGTTTACCATCACAATCTCAATGCTCGCAGGCATTGCATGTGTGCGTGTTGGCACTCCGGCAAACCTCCAGCCTATGCGGTCATGATCTTGCCATCCGCAAACATATCCTCATGGAAGGATGAACCAGGAGTGCCGGATGAATCGATTGTGAGCTTTTCCATCTCTTCTTCGATCAAAATTTCTCGGTCACGGCAATCGGAGCTGCAGAATGCTTTCTCACCTCTGCAAAACAATAGAACTGTTACCATCGCTTACTACAAGTACTGATCTTATAGAAATCTTTTGAGAAACAAGAATATGATTCGTCGGTGCATAAGAAACTAAGTTAAGTAAAAGGTTCCGCAGCACCACGATTGTTGAAGTGCTCGATCGACAGAAGCAGATTAAAGAGACTTGAGATCATCGTAAGACTAACTTATACATGTAGATGTCTTTTCCCTCTTCCAGCTTCTTCTTGCAAGAGAGACAGGATCTGAGGAAGTCGTCGGTGGAGCAGGGCGGTGAATCCTCAGATGGCTTCAACAGCCAGGCTGACCGGCAGTCATCTGTTCTACATTTATTCTCAAAAACTAGTGATGGAAAGCTGTGGCTTTCAAGAATACAATCTCCAAAAATGTGAGTTGTTTTAGGATTGGGGCCATGAGATATGATGCAAGTGTAGTCCTCTGATTGCTCGATTTCACTTGCAGAAAGGGATGTTATTACACCATAAGATGGGCCAATAGTTTCGTGAGAAAATTTGTCAAAACTGGCACTCCTCTCGACCAGCCGGAAAGAATCCACCATCGAGCTGTTTGAATCTGATGGAAAAACATCAGAAATGGACTTGGAATTCCGATACACAAAGTCAGTTTTCAGAGATGATGGTCGACTAATATCTGCTGAATAAGACCTCAGCAATCCTAACTCTCCACATTCCGATTCAGCCACTTTGGATCGTAGCGCGGACATCCTTGATCTGTCCAACTGGGGTCTTACCGATCCACCGAGAGTATGCGAAGAGATCGCATAGTCTTTCGGTAAAGATTTGGGAGCTGCACATGAGGAGTCATCTCTCAGGCCAGCGAGGTGAGATTTGTGGCACGAGATGTCAATCCTCGTAGCTGGAGCAAAGGCTGAGGTCCTGCTCTCGGAGAGTCCCAAGAACTTCCCACAAGGCTCGGCCTCGTCCTTGAGGGCGTCCACCAGGCTCAGGCCCACCCTGTTGCAGTCCCAACACCTGGGCTTCCCATCGAGGCTTGCCGATCTCGGAGAACCAAGAAAGGAGTTGCCTAGGCCGGAGAAAGCCTTGCAGTCCAGAGGCGACGTGGGGCTCCTGACTGCATCAGAATTTGAGAACCCCTTGGTGCTGAACCCCACGAAGACGCCAGGAACACCAAACAGCGAGGTGTTCCTGGCCGTCTGCATCAGGCCTTTAGAGGAGAAGCAAGAATCTGAGGGCGAATCAGATACCAGCTGCTCCGTGCCGTGATCCTTGTGGATCTTGTTCATTGCCCTCAGCATATCTCCAGCCTTCTCTGCCTTTCCCCTTCTTGGAAACTAAGATCCCTGAACATAAATCCACAGAGTGCTTCAGTAAGGCATTCAAGGTTGGTGTGATCCTAGTACAAAATCTTTTCCTTTTTCCAAAGAATCGGAACGATAATTCCACATAACAAGTACAAAATCGTTTCCCCCTTTTATTCCCCTCCCCCCCACCAATGGGGAAGCATTCGAATGAATAAAAAACGACTGGATATCGACCAAAGAACACAAGGATTTCGGTAAAGGCGATGGAATGAGACACATTACCGATCGTGTACATCCGTCGACGGGCTACGCATATAAGCAAACAACAGGTGGGCAAACCAAAACACGACGAATCGACGAACGGATAACAAAAATGGAGCCTCTTCATCAGATCACAAAAATCTAACCATTTCGCAACGATGTTGTTTTTAGCGGAAACAAAATTTACAGGAATTAACCTAATGCATGGAGACTAAATATCATACGGAAGATGAACACGAAGAAATGGAAACCTACAAAAGAATACTGGATACAGTAGGAACTCTCCAAGAACCGGTAAAACAGGGAGAAAAGAACCAGATCTGATACTCGAACCTGCCAAAATGCACCAAATGAAACCCCAAACCAAAACAGAAAAACAAGTTTCGTGCTTCTCCAAGGCCCTTTTTTCATTTGTCTGGTGAGCCCAAATGCAATCGATCCGTCCGATGATGCATTACAGAAATGTCATGGTCATGGTGGGAAACAACAGCGAGTCCACATAGAAAAAGGATTGCAGGAACGCCCCACCTTTGCTTTCCCTTTGGCTTCCTCCTTCCCCCTCCCCTCACGCTCTCTATCCGAGAGACCACCTCCTCTCAGACGGAGGAGCCTATGAAGAGAGGCCGACCCCCCATGCTGCAGTATGAACTGATTGCAAAGGTCGAAACAATACCTTACATAGTACTCTCGCTCTGTTTTTCTATTTGTCTTCATAAGACATCAAAACCGAAATAGTCCTTCTCACCGCATTCGTGACCGTCAGAATGGCAGAATGTACGTATTCGACTGTGCTTACTTACCGTATATCTTATGCGAGTTGATAAGGTTATTTAATCTCACAATTTTGTTTGAGTATCTCGTATTTTTATAAGTCAATCTTAATCTTGTCCACTTTCGATATGAGACTAATCAGGGATGTTACAATCACCCCCACTCATAACCCAGGTCAGACCCTAGCATAGTGCTTGTGAGGCGTAGCCCAGTGGTGATCTAACTGGCCTATCAACTTCGTTTGGTCTAAACCACTAACCAAAATGCTTAAGCTGAAATTGATAATAGTACACTCATCAGACCCTTATAAGTCAATCTTAATTTTACCCACTTTCGATGTGGGACTAATCAGGGGTATTATAAAATATTAAGACTCGAGCCTGATGGACTAACTGGTTTATCAACTTCGTTTGATCTAATCCACTGACTAAAATACTTAAACTGAAATTGATAGTAGTACACTCTTGAAATTAATAACGGGTGTTACACATTTCCTGTCACTTTTTTTTTACTTCAGACTCGGACGATCCCATTTACTCGGGCGAATGATAGTGTCCTGTCATGCTTTATCGAGTAAGCAAAAGAAGAAGACGACGAGTGGCGGAAGCAAAGACCAAAGCGAAGAAACAAAGGGAGGGCCCCACCGTCGTCCCGACACGTGTAAAAAATAACAAGTGGCCCCGTGACGTGCTTTTGGGAAACTAACCGAAGAATGAATGCATCACTACGCACGAATCTCAGCGAAAGAAAACAAAGGGAGTCCGACGTGTGATCGCTCCCCATCTTTAATCCGTTCACCCTACCCCGCTTTTTGCCTTTCGTCTCTCTCTCTCTCTCTCTCTCACTCACTCTCTTTGGGTCCCACGTATGTACTGCCGAGGCCGACCCCTTACCAACTCGCCAAATCATCGAGTTCCTCCCACCGACCCGAAGGTCCCGAAGGCGACCCTGCAACCCAACTCGCTCTCGGCTACCTGCATTTCGACTGGAGAGAACAACGGGGCCATGGCGAAGACTGTCGATGGCGATGGTGCCCCAATTTCTAAGGTTTTAATATCCAACCCCCTCTCTATCTCACCGTCGCTTTTCCTTTTTCTTTCTCCGGCACGGTCCTTTTTGTTGCCAGCATTATAGCCTTTCATGATTTCTCGCGGCGGCGATCCGAATCACGAGGCCAATCAGACCGGCCGTCTGCCCATTCTGCAGGCCTCCCGGTCGCCAAGGCTGGTCGCGGCGCACCCACTCGTCGATTCCTGGCATGTAGCTTGCGGAAGGATCTGATCACAGATGTCCATATAATGGACGGCCAGGATCACCTGATAATTATATCATATACTATAATTGAAGAAAGGAACAAGGAAGCAGGATCCTCAAGTGCTCTTGGGAGACTTCTCAAGCACTCTCTCTCTATCTCTCTCTTCTCTTCTGTGAGCTTATCTTAAAATGTAAGGTATTTATGAATAGTAAAAGATTGAGGATAAGATTTGAAGAGAAAATTATTATATTATATAATTCTATTTAATCTAATAAGATATATTATAGATTTAATTAAATTATTATTAATTACCAAAAAGAAAGTCTAATAATAATAAGAGGAACAAATTTTCTAATTACTCATTTAGACTCTTTGCTCTCATTTATAAATAGATATAATTTATAATATTATATATCTACTCTCATCTTATCTTAATTCCTATTTTATTACTAGTACCACAAAGGAATAGAAAAAAAAAATTAATTAATTAATTTTTTTTTATAAAGATGCATTTATAGATCAGATAAAGATTTTTGAATGACATCAAAAATAAATACATCTAAACTTCAATGTACGATTATTTGATTTTAGTTTTTAATATTCAATTTTTTTACATAATAGAAATATGATTATAATTTTTATACTTATAAAAATTATATTGATTTAACTAAAATGAATTTGCTTTTGGATGAAGAGAAAATGATTAGATTATATAATTATATTTAATCTAATAAGATATATTATAGATTTGATTAAATTATTATTGATCACCAAAAAGAAAGTCTAATAATAATACGATTTCTTATCGGAACAAAATTTCTAATTACTCATTTAAGATTCTCTATTCTCATTTATAAATAGATATAATTTAAGATATTATATATTCAGTATAAAGGGATGGATAGAAAGAAGAAGAAAAAAAATGAAATTAGTATTTCTTGATAAAAATAAACTTATAGATCAGATAAAGATTTTTGAATGACATCAAAAGATAAGCACAATTTTTTTATTTCGATTTTTAATATTCAATTTTTTTTTACATAATATAAATATGATTATAATTTTTATACATATAAAAAATATATTGATTTAACTAAAATTAATTTGCTTTTGGATTAAGAGAGTTAAGTGATATATATATATAAATTTTTGTTCAAATCAACAAACTTAAGTTTTTATTTATCAAATCGGAATGCATGTAATGCAGCCATTCATAGTAAGACCGATGTTTCATGTGGAATCATTTTAAAGCACAGATGAGAGTGCGCAATGTAAAAAAGGTTGAGCATTAGTTTATGAATACACACCGTAGCAGTACAGAATCAGCAACATAGTAGAGTGTAAGTATGTCTACTGATACAGACATACCCACAACAAAGAAAGAACTATCTGTATTCCTCCCAAAGTTGTCCACTTGAAACTATGCTTAGTGAAGGATATAGGTAACAAGGAGAGCCAGAAGCATCAGAACATAAGCTATGCCTTGGTCGATGGCTTTGCCATCGATCTTCCGAGCCGGTGCAGTTGCTTCCCCATGAGGTATCTGCATGAGGCCAGACAAGATGAATGCAGCAAAACCCAGGGCGGTGCACACTCTCATGGAACTCATCTTTTTCCTCCAAAGTCGAGAGCGCACAGTTTCAGGAGAGCCGAGAGCTGTGAGTTTAGTGTAAGGTGGGGGGAGAGCTCGAGACGAAGTCGGTACTTATAGATGGTAGCAAGTGATGATTTCTTGAGTAGTTTACAGACCGCCGAGGTTGAATAAGACGAGGTCGAGGTTGAGGTCAAAGTTTGTCGACTGGACCTGTTCATGTCCAGTGTGCTGTAGAGCCAACCAAGTTCGTAAGACGTGGCCTCACCGTCAAACGTAGAGTGGCCCATACGGCGATGAACCATGGTGCACGTTAAACTCTCTCTCTCTCTCTCTCTCTCTCGCTCTACCAATAGTATTTGATGTGGTGCAGTTTTGAAGACTGAATCTTGAAGCTTCGAGTTGCTTCGAGTCAAATACTTATTGGATACGGCACAATTTGGATGGCTACAGGATGAGAGCTCTCCAGTGGGTAGGTATATGTTACTGTTGACTTTGATTACTACATGGTGGTCATGCTAGAATGAGGACGATCATGTAATCGAAGATGCAGCCCTACCATTTGCAACAGTAGAAATTTGATGAAATCTTAATGAGTCTCTCTAGAATGTGGAAATCAACAACCATAACCTATTAGGATTACATTGACTCGGCTCTGTACTGCAAATCTGTACGGTTGTGACGAATCGGCCCATTATTTGGATAGTGGGCCATTTGATAGTATGCTAGCAACGTAGCAGCGAGCCCATTTAACATGGCCCATAGACTTTTCCGTTTGCTTTTACTTTTTTAAAATTATTGATAGGGAAATCATTTTTTCCACTCATAACTCAACATCAAACTCTCCTGTCAATATGTTGGAAGAAATTATCATCAACATCCAAACCTGAAGGTGTAAGAGTGTTATGAGTGGCTTCGAGATGGATCTAAAGTGACTCTGTGGGGTGTCGCTTGCATTAAGACCAATATTGAAAGAAAATTTTCAACTTGGGTCCTTGTACATTTAAGTTAGTCTAATATCCTTTTTGGGGTATAAGTTTTTCTTGAAAAGAGAATCCTTCGACACAGCATCGAGGGTTAGGGTTTTTACCAAGTCTAAGATAGCCTGCAACTACTATCCCAATCGTTTCTCTTTGACATTTTGTCCATATGAGCGATAGGGGAGAGATAGGCCTAAACCATCGCCCTTGGATTGTTATCCATGAGAACGAACTAGATGATGACAACGAACTTTTCTTACCACGTCAGCCTCCGCAACAAGTATCAAATAGTGAATAGAGTCGGAGTGTTTCTATTGTGATCGACATCCATCACATCAAAAATATAAAATTATAATTATAATCGTAAGATCTCTAAAATATTTTCTCTAAAAATATTGTGCACGTAGCCATCAAATGCTCGGTATAAAATTGATATCGTCAATCGACGCACAGTAGAAGCATCTCTCTCACGTGCATGCCACGTCTTGCCCTGCACATCGACGTACGGGAACTCTACAATATGAGCTGTCGAACGTGGTGACCGTAAATCCCACGTGGCTCACACCCTTTCCCAGCGAAGACGCGATTGATTGTATATAGGTTTCGGCAGCGCGTGATGGGCAGGTCACGTGCGCACAGGAGCTTCCCATGTGAACCCCAACCCGACTGGCTCGGTAACATGCCTTCCATCCATCTTGTCCTCCGCGGTAAGTCCACATCAAACCTCACTCGCCGTCCTCTCAAGGTAAATCCATCACGCACGAGGAGTGTTTCGACTGTTTCTTCTCTTCCGTGAAGCATTTGAAGTGGTGTCAATGCCGACCACGACGGTGATTCAGAAGTCGTCGTTCCCCCGCATCTTGTCAGGTTTACCAAATGAGATCGGAATCACACACTCTCTCGATACATCCAAACGCTGCGCTTTCAAGATCTGGACCATAGGTTTCGTCCCCGTCATGTCGAAGGAAGAATAATGCGCATGCGGGTTGGAAGCACGCAACGCCCTTTATTTCGCTCGTGGTGGGCAGCACAAGAAGACAGCATAAAGCGGAGGCCCGGCCGAGGTTCCTCGACTCTGAAAAGCTCGGCAGCGTCAGCCTTTCTTGTTTGCTTTGGTTTCTCCCTTTGAAATCCAAGTGTACAGGGAAGAGGCGAAGCGATATCTTCTGTTCTTTACGTATTCTACGTGCTTAGCGTTTAGACTCCCGCTGTAGCGGAAGATTATCGTCATATTCAAGATCACTAACTCAGATAAGGGAAGGTTCGAAAGTTTCGGTCGTCCATACACGGATCGGGTTCGGATACACATCAACTCCCATAATCATTCACAGATCTCAGGAAATATGCAGAGCAATCGACTCGAGACATACTACGGCTGCAGATGGCATCCCCCTTGTCATCGTAAGCACAACCGCGGAGATCAACCCACTCTCTGCATCGTCGTGGTCGATGGGACGGCGAACCTCGCGGAGAAGGAGCGCGATAGATTGTCCGGTTCCACCGACGCCGACCCTTCATCAAAATTCTGCGCATAGGTATACGGATCATAGGGAAGGTGCGTGGGGTTGGCGGAGCTCAGCATCCGCCTCTTCTCCTTCACGATCCTCCGCCACAGCCCGCGCCATCTTGACTGGGTCGGCCGGCAATTGAGTGAGTCGAACTCTTCGTCGCAGTCGTCGGCCATCGCCCGGGCGAAGCCGGCCGTTCCGCGGCGGCCGTTGCACCAGTTGCCGATGTGGAGAGGTGGGCACGCACAGGATCTCTGCTTCCGGAGCTCAGGACAGCAATCCATGGTGCAGTCCTCCGGAGCCTCGGCTGAGTGTTTGTGTGTGGCGTGGAGATGTGACCTCATTTATAGAGGGACCGACCGCAAGGCAAGCATCGGATGCCGATATCATAAATGGTCATCGGATGGCCGATGGTTGATTGCTGGGGGCAATAAATTCTTCGTACAAACGGAAGAAAATACATGTTGGAAGATCATGTGTATTATCCGATTAGTTTATTATGAGTTCAAATCTCTCTCTTATCTTCGATTCGAATGTCCATCATTGGCACATATTTCATCTGCAATTATGGGATGAGGCAAATCTGCACTTCTCTCCCAAACTTTAGCATCAGGTTTGGACCCAAACGATGAATATATGCAGCTCATACTCTATTCTGTGAGTATGTATGTGCCGAGAAAGAGTAGTAGCGAGATGACAGCAGCAGCAGGAGGACATGCGGTCAACAGTTCCAGCTGCAGCGGCCACCTTCGCATATGCTCCGAACGCAACACTACTCCGATCAACATGTGGAAACTCGTAGAGAATGCGCTGACTCCAAGATTTGTGACTCCCAGTGCAGACGTAATCCAATCCAATGGCTGGCATATCAGTCGCAACCTTTGTTATCACTAGAAAGAGATAAAGGGGGGAGTAACGTTGATCAGATATTTCCCTTTTGTTGCAGAGCTTATGACTTTTGAAAGAAAGAATAATCAAACACGATGAAATATTCATATAATATATATATATATAATCGCAAATACAAACAACAGCACCAGTGGTCTAGTGGTAGAATAGTACCCTGCCACGGTACAGACCCGGGTTCGATTCCCGGCTGGTGCAGTGAATGGATGTTTTTTGGTAAATGCGGCCAAGCCCGTTCGCGTCTAACAAAGGTAATAGGAAGCTAAATCGGTACATGGAAACTATAAGTTATGTTGGGGGCTAATTATAAGTCAGATTTTTTTTTAAGCATATCGATTCTTATATTTTAAAAGGAATGAAAGTGAAATATTTAATCTTATTTATCCTAATATTATCGATTTTATTAAAAAAGATATAACATATAATAGCATGTGTATAAATGATATAAAAATGATAGAAAAAAAAATAATTTCAACAATGATAGTAGGACAATGGCATCGTGTATGAATGGCATGCTATCGATCCGAACATTAGGAGGATGAAGAGGAGGTAGAGCGGTGAGGTGCCGATGAAGATGTAAAGTAACACTAGAGGAGCAAGTAGAGGCAACACGGTGTGGTGCTCACCTCTCACCTCTTCCTCCTCCAACGTCGACGTAGATATAAAGCAATATTGGAGGGAAAAAAAGTAGAGTAGTGCATCGCTCACCTCCCTCCTCTTCCTCCTCCAATACCGATGCAGATGTAGAGTGGCATCGTACTGCTTTGTCTCATATTTCTTGTCCGACGCTAATGCTGCAAATCCCTCACCGTTTTACCTCCTCTTTCTCCTGGTCATAGATATCGGCAAGCTTGACCACCATGTTATTCACATCGATCACCACCACAACAGTCACCTACGGTGTCATCATCTACCACCACAACAATCACCCATGGTATCATCGTTCGTCATTATCGTTGAAATTATCTTTTTATCTATTATTTTCATACTATTCATACACGTGTTGTATCTTTCATCGATAAATATAATGACGATATAATAAATGGAGTTGAATGTTTCACTCTTATAACTATAAAGATTTCAATATAAATTTTTTAAGTATAATGATTAAGATGTTAATGCATAAGATAATAAAATAATATATAATTAACACTCACAATCGACCTTTGTTAAATATTATAATATTTAATCGAGAGAGCCAAAATAGCGGTAAGAATGTGATAACGTGACCGACATGTTCATCATCGTGCATCCAACAAGGCAGCTCGGAAATGTAAATGACAAATGTTGCAGATTCAGATCTCATCTGTGTCTTACGGTCCAGCTTACTGCAAGTTTGGTGTGAGAAAAATAAGAAGATACGGAGAGCATTTTTGTAAAAACTATGTACAAGTCGAGCCCAACAAAGGTCATCCAATATTTAAGTTACTAGAGTTTTCCTAAGAAATTGTAATGATTAAACTTGAGTGGATCCTTTATGTATTACCTGTTTTTTAGGGAGTTCGATTAGAGTATTGATATGCATGGAAGTTAGGCAAAATCATCGATCATTATTGGCTTGTGGGAGTGTTCATCAGATCATTAGCATACATTATTAGTTACCGTGCATTAGCTATCGTTGATAACACGAGTGGGTTCCGACATAAGTGTCATGATGAGTAAACATTTAATAAGGAAGTATTTGTTTAATTTTAAAATTTGATGATAAAACTAATTCAAGAGTTTATTAGACTAATAATATAGTGACGTAAGAAATACTTCAATTATAGACTCGGACCATCAAAGGGTCAACTATTGAATACGAGAGTTGGATGTCAAGCGAGAGGATTGATCGATGTATCAAAAATCAAACTTCGTACTAAATGTTCGAGTATCGTACCGAAAGAATATGATATTGCGTCGAAAAATTGGATGTCATAAGAAAGTCGGCATGTCAGTATAATGAGAGATATGTCGAAGAAAAAGATGATGTGCCAAAGGTTCGGATGAAGTGTCGGAAGATCAAACAACATACCATAATAGAATACAACGTGCCAAAAGCTTCGTAAATGTGTAGTATGTGTGGGTAATTTGTCAAAGTCTTGATCGAGGTCATTATGGAATCAATTTGAGTTGATATTCGGTTGAAACCATGCTAACTTATCAAGAAGGCTATTGGGCCTAAATTAGAGTTGAATTGGCTTGTTAGAAGGCCAAACCAATGACCTAAACTAGGCCTAAGTGGTGGTACTATCAGACACAAGCGATAGTACCATCTGAGTTAGTCGACAAGCACTATTTGTGCTTTATCAACCTTTCCAACAGTGCAATAATACCACCTAATTCGGTGATAGTATCGCTTAGGCCAATGATAATATATCAGAGTCCATATTTTAAGCCTATTTATGGTGGTAGTATTATCTAGTACCGATGGTAGTATCGCTCGTACCCTAAAATTTTAAAGATTTAAATTTTTGGCTCTATTTTTTTGGGGCCTATAAATACCCCACTCAAACCTAGTTGATGAAGCATCTATTATTGAGCTAAAAGTATTATAAACTCTCATTTCGAGTATAGTTTAAGTCTCCTCTTGAGTTTGATTATAATTGTAAGTTGTACGAAGTAAAAGATTTTATATAAAAAAAGAGTGTGAATGTTATCTCCTTATCAAAGAAAAAGTTATAATAAAAGTAGTTAATTTTTGTCCATTAAAAAGAAGATCGATAGTAAAAGTCGATGATCTCAAGAGAAAATGAATCAGGAGCGGGTGTTAGTTAGGAGATTGAATCACTATAAGTTGGTTTGTATCTCTTTATTTATCATTTACTTATGACTTAGTTTTATTCTCTTGCAACTTTAATTTTATCAATCGAATTTTTAAAATATGTTGATTTATCGATCGAGTTTTAAAATCAGTTAAAATTATTATTATACTAATTCATCCCTCTCTTAATGTCATTAAAATCCTAACAGTATTGAGTCGATGCTGATGTGAATAAATTTTACTTGTACTTGACAGGACGTGAGATATTTTGTTGGGTTATCCACTTATTATTTCTGTTGGGAATCTTGGGGGCGACATCATATGCACAGCGGAAGAACAAGAAAAATAAAATCCCCGATTCCCAAAGAGATGTTCGTCGTCGTGCGAAGATTGGTACGCAAAATCCGCGAGACTTAAAACTGCGTATAGAGTGGATTGTATTACCTAGGGAGATCGTATATCCCTGTTTCCTTGCAGATCCTTAGGAGAGGGTGAAGGAGGTCAAGCATCCTCCTCTCTAGCGGTGATCCACACAGTAGGGTTGCGACGACGCTCCTCAAAACTCCAGGCCTACTCTGAGGTGGAGAGGGAGAGGAGAATAGGAAAGGCAAGCAAAAGCTCTCTAGCCTATGAGGCTCTGAATCCCTCCTATTTATAGAGGTCCCGTGTCAAACCCTAATGGGTCCTCCCCTAGTGGGTATTGGATCTGCATCCAATAAGACAAGGGCTCCGTTGGATATCTCATATCTGAACCTCTACTCATCGCAATACCTACCATATGTGTGTGACCCTCTAGGCCCAATATCGAGCCGGCCATGAGTCATACCTGTCAGAACTCCTTCTAACTCAGTGAATTATTATCTCTGTAATAATTTACTCGACTCATCGACTACGGACGTACTAGGCCACTACGCCGTAGTCCCGAGACGATACAGGAGAATCCAATCCATTGGACCTGTCTGTCCTCAGTTACCGTGTACCTATAGTCCCTCATCCATCTAATATCTCAGAGACCGTATATCGAGCATGGTGTTGTCAGACTCATACGGTTTCTATTCGAGTTTCGTTCTAATCGGATTCTCCCGGAGAACTCTTTCTCTCTCAACCTGAATGACCCTAGCTAGGGATTTGTTTGAGCAAGAACACATGGGATATTCCTCTCATGACGTCGAGAGTGGATGATCCTCTATCGACACTCAATAGCCCTCGTAAGGTCGACTACCACTCCCAATGACTAGTTGTACTAGATCTGGGACAGCCAAACCTATAAGTCTGGTATCAAAGAGTGGAGCACTCATATAGGACATCCTTGGTGTCTCAAGTCTAAGGACCAGATACACCACTAGGACTACGAAATCGTTGTCTGACAACAAGGCATCATCAACCATCCAGCATTCCATAAGCGGATCAATCAGTGAACTCATTCTCCAATGAGCACCTGTACTGTATCCCTAGTGTCCCTACACGAGCAACTATGAGACCAGCTGCATCCATCATATGGACGGGTATACAGCACACCAGTCTGTCCGGTTATCACGATGTCCCTCTCGAGTAACCTATGACCGGGATTATTTGGGATATGTGTTTAAAGGTGAATCGATCTCATTATCGTGATCTCATCACGATCCGATTCCCATTGCACAAATCCAAGGACATCAAAATATATGTATGCATTTATGCAATAGTTATAAAGTGATATATGCCAAAATATAATAAGCAAAAAGATTCTGTATCAAGTCACATGTGTCATCACTCACGTGATTGACTTGCTGGGCACCTATGACTAGCAATATCCCCTTATCATATGTCTCCCGTTTTGCTATAACACTCTTGGGTGTCCGGACACCATGT